CTTTCAACTTTGGGTCTTGGCTGTGCAATTCTGGGACAGCAGGAAAAATTCCACTAAGTCTCAGCACCTGGTAAACAGTGCTCAATAAATGCTAAAAGGTGTTATTGATCAGAGCTCAACCCAAAGAGTCTTATATTTAGAAGCAGGGCAGAAGATCAGAGTGGACCAGGAGCAAAGCTGCAGATGACAAGCTGTGGGACTCCTTCAGTTCCTCCAGGCCAGGAATATACTTGTTCTCCAAGTCTGCTATCAGGTTGAGTTCAACTGAGGGCAGGGCCAAGGTGAAGAGCAGGGAGGGCAGGATTCATGCCATTCTTTGGCTTCAGCCTATTTGTCCTTCATCACCTCAGAGTCGGTAGGAAAGAACTGAGTAAAGCTGAGATTGAAATTCTCCACCGTTCATGGTGTTATGAGGATAGAGTCTGGCTAGCTATCCCCAGACCCATTTCCTCTTTTTCTTCAGCACACAGGTAGACTACATTTCTCAGCCTCTCTTGCAGTTGGGTGCGGCCATGAGATTGAGTTCTGGCCAAAAGCATGTGAGTGAAAATGATGTCTGCCACTTCCAGCCCTGCCCATGAAAACCTTCCAAGGCATGATCTTCCATGTTCTTACCTTTTTTACAGGCTTGATGCAAACAAACAAGATGACTTAGGAGGCTTCACGTTGAAGCTGGCAGAGCCAAATGATAAAAGGGTCCTGGATCCCTGAGTCACTTTGTAGAAGGCTGCCTGCCGACCAGGAATGCCCACATTTAGCAGTTATGTGAGTGAAAGACATACCATTTTATGTTTAGACATTTAAGTTATAGGGTATGTTTGTTACATCAGCGGGCATTGCCTTACCCAACACACGAGTTCACAGAGTAAATGAGGGAATTAGTCCATGCCCACATTGTCCCTGCTTGTAGAACTTCTAGGAGTTTCGGGCATTTATCTGCCATGCTCTATAAAGTCTGCACCATGTTTTAATTCCACTTCACAGAAAGGTTTTCTTCCCAAACCCTCTTCAGGGGCCTTTCCCATTAAAAAGCCCATTTATAGAAACTACTACTTAGCATTTTTGGAACTTGTTATCCTATTCGGCAGAGTCTAAGTCAGGAAGCTTTGAACTCGGACAATTACTGCTCTTGATTAACAACAAGAACTGATGAGTTGGCCTTTGCAGTGTGCTAAGCAAACTCAGCCAAGCAGAAAATATCACTGAAGGGGAAACAATGGGAAGTGATTTTCTTGGTTACATTACGAGCCGTCGTGATATTTACACATGTTTGTGGATAATGTGGGAAACTCTGCTGCTTGCATGCCCTTCCTGATGACACTGCTGGGCTTGAAACGCCATGTTTCTCACTTGACCTGGGCTGTCGATGTCATTGTGTGACTGCAGGCAGCCAGCCAGCCTGGTGGAAAAACCACAGACCTGGGCGTGGGCAGGCATGGGTGCAGGATCCCTGAACCACTGCTTCGGAGTACCTGCTCCTCCGGGTGTCGTTGGGGCCAGCACCAGCCTGGGGCCTCATACTGTCAGCCCAGCCAGCAGCAGCATAGAGGAGTATCCAATTCTTCATACCCTCACCAGAACAGGCTATTTTAAAAAGAGATCTTTGTGAAACTGAATCATGTTTTTAATCTCGGGTTGCACTTGTACTCCTATTTCCCATGTCTTCATGTGTGAGTGGTCTATGCATGTTCTTTATCCATTTCTCTATTGGGGACAGTAGTATTTTTCATATCATTGCATATGAAATCTTCATGTATTAAGGCCAGTGCACCTCTTCACGTTTCATAGGTTTATTTGTCCACGTGATTTGTCCTTTTTTTGTTGTTAATTTTTTTGTACATTTGAAGTTGAAAAAAATTAAATAGTCAAAATTCTGTCTTTTCCTTTGAGGCTTTTCCATCTTTTTAAACTTACAAAGTCACATTCCATATAGAGGTTTGAGATATATTCATCTATAAACACCACTAGTTTTTATTAAAAATTTAAAAAGTAACTGCTTAGGGGTGCCTCGCTGGCTCAGTGGGTAACTGAGGGTTGTGAGTTCAAGCCCCACATTGGGCATGGCACCTACTTAAAAGAAAAAAATAAAAATAAAAAATAAATGACTTTTTAATCCACCTGGGGCTTATTTGAGTGGAAGATGTGAGGTAAAGATCTTCCTAGGGCTTTGGTAGGCTCTTTGATGGTTCATTTCTGCGTTCTACCTTTGTCTCATTCCTTTCCAGTTGCTATAACAAAAATAGCACAGATTAGGTGGCTTAAACAACAAACATTGATTTCTCACAGTTCTGGAGGCTGGGGGGTCCAAGATCAAGGCATCGGCAGATTTGGTATCTAGCGAAGGCCTATCTCTTATGTCCTCCCATGTGGAAGGGATGAGGAAACTCCCCAGGGTCTCTTTTATAAGGGCACTAATCCCATTCGTGAGGGCTCCACCCTCATGACCTAATGATGTCCCAAAGTTCTCTCCTACTAATACCATCACATTGGAGATTAGGTTTCCATATATGAATTTTGCTGGGACACATTTAGTCTGTAGCAACCCCCGTCCTGCATTCAGTACTGAGCCTGGCTCAGAGAAGGTTCCAGCTAGAGTTTGACCTTTGGATGTAAAATTTTGGCTTCTTTACAGCTGAGAAAATATCTTGGCAAAACTCACATTGGCCATTTGGAAAAAATGTCCCACAATGCTTGCATTCCTCACAAGATCTTGGAAATAAGTGTTAGGTTTATACCCATTGTACAGATGAAAAAAACCAAGGCTCCTGGAAGTTAAGAGACTACTTATATCTGCAAACTGACCACCAAGATCTGGAGCTGAGACCCAGCCCAGACTCTTGGGAGCCTTTATCCTTCTGCCTTTTTCACAGCCCTGGTGCAGCCTTATTCCTCCACAGATCACTGCTGCACCCAACACCTGGCATGGGGCCTGGCTCCAGCAGGAGTCTGAGTGACAGATGGGCCTAAGACTAAAGTCTCCCATGGCAGACCTCAGGCATCCCCCTTCCTCCTCTCTGTGATGGTCACTGAGGTCGGAGGAGCTGCCAGAGGCCGCTTGAGCATATTCCAGGCTGGCACTTCCACCCTCGTCCCTGGAGGCCTTGCCATGGTCTCCATTCCGCCGTCCTGTGGGGGCTGCACATGCCCGGGCTATGGCAGATACTGGTGCCCTGCACCTGAGGAGGGCAGGCTTGGGGCCTCTGTCCCAGGGAAGCCAGGGACGAGGGCTGTGGCATCAGGGACGGTGGCACCTGCTCTGCCTCACCAGAGACTCCCATTTTCAGTTCCAAATGCTGCCACTTCCCTTTGAAGTTCATGCCTCTAAGCCGTGAGCCTTGGGAAGAAAGGCGTTGGGCGGGCGCTCTGCTGCACCAGCATGTCTCTCTCCCTCAGGAATCACCTTCGTCACCATCCATTGCCAAAATGAATGGAGGCTGCACAGCCGGCTTTATTAAATATGAATGAGTCGCAGCCCACGGCCCCCACGTGGTCATTCACCTACTCCATCTCTGGCAATTACTGCGTCGCACACACTGTGCCAAGGGGCGCAGCGGTCCCTGCCTGCGCTTGCAGACTGACACCGCCCAGCAGGGGCAGGGCTCGGGTCTGCAACTGCCCCTGATGGAAAGCCACTCCTGGGCTCCCATGCAGTCAAAACGGCTCTGCTCTGCAGGTGTAGGGATAGGGCACCTTCCACAGAAGGATCGTGGATTCTTGGACTCCGAGCCCTGGCTGGGTAGGGCCTGTGGCTTTGGAGCCCAAGACAAGGTCTCCTGGCATGGTGGGCTCCTAAGCTCTGTCTGCACGTTAGAGGTGTGTGGGTCACACCCAGACATCTTTGATTTCAGGCAGTTTGAAGATCCAGGTTAAGGGCACGTGTGTGCATGCACACACCATCACTGAGCACACATTCAATGTGTGTTATTGTTACCCTCACAAGAACCCATTAGATTGTGAATTTCATGTCACTGGGGTTCTTGATAGCCCTGTTCACTGCTGTGTCTCCAGTGCTAGGGGCAGGGGAGATGCTCAAACATTATTTGTTGAATGAATTAATGAGGTGGGTGTTACTGATCATTTTGTAGCTAATGAAGTGGAGTGACAGAACTCACCAAGGTTCTCCAGCTATTGAGTATCAGAGCTAGGTGTCCAATCCAGGGCGGGGCTCCACCCGGCCCTGCAGGCTGCCGGCTTGCCCGTCCGGGACCCCTCCTGCCCTGCCCAGGCCATGGTCCGATACCGCACCACACTGCTGGACTTGCATGGATCTGTTTGGCCCCGATTCCTTCGGGGGAGCCAATAAAATTCCCCACGGCCCCATGTGGCTTTGTCAAAGTTGTCAGAAACCTGAAGTTGTAAGGACAAACGACATCAAATTCTTTTTCTGAACTTAAAAAATTACTTTTATTTTAGGAACCAATAAAATTATGGCAAATATTTACAAATAATTATCTCACATAAAGGTTACATAAAATCAATTCTTCACAAGTAACAGTCACTCATGAAAAGACACACAGATATTAAAACTACGCCAATCTTATTGCAAGTTTCTCCAACTAATCTAAAATAAAAGTGTTGCAATCAACCATTTAACTTAGAATAAAACCACGAATTTCAGGTTTGACGAGAAAAGAAGGTAAAAAATTAAACCAAAATCCCACCCCTGTTTTCTCCCAAGTCCCACCCCCAGCCCCTGCCCTCCTCCCAACAAAAGAAAAATATGTCGGACATCTTTGGCAAATTGGCACTGCTGTAATTACATTCAAATATTATTACACACAAAAGCAACACACATCACTAAGAAAAAAAAACCACCAATATTTCAAGTCAGTTATTTTCTACTAGAAAAAAAAATACAAAACATACACGTTTTTAAGAAGCATTTGTTTTCAATCTGTTGGAGACAGATCATCTCCCACTTTCAAAGGCAATTCAATTGTGGTTTTTTTTTTTTTGTCGGGGTTTTTTTTTTTTTGTAGTTTTTTTTTTTTTTTTTTTACAAGTGTTTATGCAGGCATCACAAACTTTGGTGGATACAGTAGATATGTATTTCTTTGATGCTGGAAGGTCATTCCCTAAGACAAAGTCAACTGTCTCAAAGAATGAGAAGCTAAAGAGTTCCACTTGCAATGTAATCTGCATTTATTTCTATAAATACTCAATGTCCAAAGGCCACTAGAGGGTGAAGAACCAGGGCAGCATCTGCCAGCAAGAGTCAGGGCAAAACCCAAATCAGATTTCCACCCTCGGCCCAGACTTGGAAGCCCAGCAGTGGGGGGCAACCAGGGGGCCCCCACTGCCCACTCTATCCCACACTGAGCTGGTGGCGTGGGGCCAAGGGATGGGCCTGCCTCTTCCTGAGCCCCAGGATGGGCTGCTGCCAGGTCTGCTCACCATCTCTGACCAAAGGTGAGGAGAGCAGGCAAGAATCGGCATGAGGAGACTCAGCACTATGTCTGAGTTTCAAGTACGTCTGAGATGCAGGGGTGTGCATGTGTGTGCATGTACACACTCACATGCACACATATGGAGGGGAAGGCCTGATTCAGAGGCTCTGAGTTTTGTGGGGCATTTCCAAAAGACTCAGGACTTATTTATTTTTAGCTTTATAGCAATTAATTGGCTATTGATTGGTTGGAATGTTCAACTCTCCATTTCCTCAAATACAATAAAATGGTTTCATTAAAATGTATTCATGCTTGAAAATAAGGGAGCCATTAAGTCGTTTCCTTTCTGTTCCACTCCAAGGGAAATGCACCGATTGTAAATCAAAAATCCATCATCCCAAATCACTTGTTCTTAATGGTGCTTTTAGGGAAGATGAGGGACGTGGCCTTATGCGTGGTGATTTTAGGGATGAGGGTGGCCCAGTGGCCATAGTTGCAGGATTGGGTGGGCCTGTGGTTGGGGTGGGTGAGGCGCAGCTTGACCTCCTCCAGCCAGGCCTTAGAGTCGGGCAAGGGGGCCCCTGACTCCCGATCTGCCCCACCCCCTGCTGGTTCACATGCTTCCTTCCCCAGCCGTGCTCAGCGCTGTCTAAAGCTGAAAGGTGGGATTCCTGCCCCCCTTGTCCTGCCCACAGGCCAAATACACTACCTGAGACCAACTCCCTTTTAGAATTCATTACGGTTTCCTCAATAAATAGCTGCATTTTCTCCTTCTGCCGCTTAGGGGTCTAAGATGTGGGAAGGAGAATATCTAGACTTACTGCATGGTGGTTACATTTACCCCCAACTCAGACATGGGCTAAAGGGGACCCCTGGGAACACATGGACTCAAACTCTGGACTGGCAGGGACATGATCCTGAGGTCTCCTTTGATCCTGGGATGGGGGGTGGTCCAGGAACGGGATCCCCGTGTCGAGAAATCACAGCAAAGGAAAGAGAGTCTGGTGCCTGGCTGCTCCTGGTAAGCAGCCCATGTCTGAGAAGCTGCAGACCCTTCCTCAAGAGAGCAGGCAGGCCAGGGACTTGCTTCCAGTCCTCTGCGGCAGCCCCTCGGGACCTGGCCGCCACTCCGGAGCGCAGCCGCGAGCTGACAGTGGGGAAGTGCGGATCAACACTGCGGCTCCGTGACTCCGCCATGAATATGCAAGAGGGAATCCTGAGGTAAGGGGTCATCAGGGGACAAGGGCCTGAAGGGGCTGCTGGGAGGTGGGGCAGACTGCAGGCTAGGAGTCATGGCCTGACTGTCCAACTTTCTGATAATGTTTTTGTTACCTTTTAAGAAATGCACTTGCCTTGGACCTCTCTGAGGCCAGAAGAACTAAAGGAATGAATTCTCCAGGAGCATCGATGTGCTTGCCTGGAAGCCATCAGAGGCAGGCTCCTAGGTGGGTGACAGGGCCATGGCCGCAAAGCCAGCTTCTTTAGCAGCGGGGTCACCCAGTAACTGGTCTAGCCCAGAGTGCTGTGGGGGTGCACCCACTCCAGCCTGGGCCTGGCCTATGCAGGGACTTGGATTTTCCTCTACCCTCAGGGCAGCTGTGTCTCAGACATATCTTGTTTCTAGGTATTTGTCAGGAGTGCTTGGTTTGTTTTTAATATTTGCTCCCCATGGCTTGGAGCTAAAGTCTAGCTGAAATGTCATCCAGAAAGGGGAGGGGGGAAGCTGGTGCCAGAGGCTGCCAAAGGCAGGGCAGTTGCTCTGGGCTCTGACTTCTCATAAAGGGATTTCACCCCTCAGTGCCCCGTGGCCACATCTGGGGCACTTCCCCCGCACACATGGAAAAACCCCAGTGGCACTGGACTCTCAGAGCCAGCAGTCCCTCTACCCCCACCACCCCCAACTGTTCTATCCCACCCACCGTCAAAGCCCAAATGGTCCAAGAGCCCAGGGTGAGGAGGGAAGGGGTAAGGACTGGGGATGCCTTACCCAGTGACTGGCCTAACAAGTCAAAGCTTATCTCCCATCTCTCTGGGTTCCCATCTTCAATGAAGGGTAAGGAGGTGAAGAAAGGGAGCACTGGCCAAAAATTGGGGGTCATGAGCTAGGAGCCAGTGGGTCAAATGTGGCCCACAAACATATTCTTTTGGCTGGAAGGGCATTTAAAAAGCTTTCACATTTCAGTGCCACTGGATGGGGCCAGCCCTCTGGTTGTCTGGGGTCCCACACCCCCATGCCACCTCACACCCTGCCTGAGTGGCAAGATCACCTGCCTGGCCCCAGGAAGCAGCAGTTCAGGGCCCTGGAGATTGTGATCTGTGTTTCCCAGGCCTGTGGCCGCCAACAGGACCCTGGCTGGGGGATGCCTACATGTTGCCACAGACAGGTCTGGAGTCTGAGCCACAGTGAGGAGACATCTCATAAACCCCAGGACCTTAGACCCTCGGAGTCAGAGGCAGGCTCACATCCAGGCCCCGCCAAGGCTGATGGTGTAGTCTTGGATGTGTGCCGATCCCCTCCGAGTCTCAGGACCCAGCAGGGAAGAAGCATGAATGAAACCTCAGAAGCACTGATGTGAATGAATCTGAGCAAAGACTTTGCAGGTTTGGTGTTAATGGGAATCAAGGCAGACCAGCAAAGCCACCAAGCCTCAGGCCATTTGGTCAGGCCAGCCTCTGGGTCCCTGTTCTTTGTTTCCTCGTGGGTCTAGGGGGTTTCTAGGGGACTGAAGGGTATGTCTAAGCCATATGCTCCCATGACAAGAGCACAATTCTGTGGAGAGAGAATGGGGCCCAGAGATCTGAGAATTCAGCTCACCTCTGTCTTGCCATGCAAGCCCCAAATCTCAGTATTCCCATCTGTAAAATGGGCATTGTGATCTTTGCCCCAGGGAATGGTCAAGGATTGCAAAGCACCATACAAATGTGAGTTATAAAAGGGCTAACCCTAACTAAGGCGCCTTGAGAAAGGGAGTTTGGATTTGATATGTCATCAGATTTTTCAGGGCTGGAACTAGACTAATGGTATGAAACTTTTTCATAAAATCCACAAGGTCCTTTCCAAAAGTCAGAGCCAGAACATAGGGCTGAAGGCCTGTGGAGGAGTACCCTAGGCCTCCAGCCACAATGCTGGTGAAAGCCCTGGCCTTGTGTTGTCCGTTCAGAATTCTCTGGCATTCACTCAGCGGCTTGTGTCCTTTGGAACCTCTCTCTCCAGGCTCACAGGCAGTTCCACCAGCAGTGCGCAGACTCTGAGCTGGGGAGAGCAGGTACTTGTGTGAGAACATATGTGTACATCCGTGTGCTCTTGTGCTTCTGCCTGGCAGCCCAGGAATCAAGGGGTTGTCTAATAAATACAGATGCAATCTGAACACCAGCAGAGCCTCAGGGGAGAGAGGAAAGGCATGGAGGGAGCTCATCACAGCAAGAGAAGGAACAGAATGGGGCCAGCTGGGCTTTGATGAGGAAGGACAGTGTGTGCTTTAGGCAGTTGGTTCAGGGAAAGCTGACTTCCCAATAGCCTGAGACCACGAGGAGGGACAAGGACCAAAGGTGTGGGTGTAAGAGGCCAAAGGCCTCATCTGCAAACCTCTGAGCCCACCACTTCCTGCAGCAGGGAAGGAGGGAGGGAAGGAGGGAGGGAGAGGCCAGCTCCCGTACCTTCTCCTACCTTGCCTGGCAGGTGGAGGCTGGAGCTGGTTCATCCTATTCCTGGAGGTGGGCTCTGCCCCCAGCTGCCTCCCTTCTTTGCCCAGCAAGTTCCAAGGTGGTGGGTGTGCCTGCAGTGAGCTCCCTGGCCCCACTTCTGCCTTGGATGGGTGGGCTTCCTTGTCAGTTCTAACAGCCCGGGACACTCCATCTGTGGCAGTGGGCCCAGAACGATCTCTCACTGCCCTCGCTGTCAACTTCCCCCCCCCGGGGATGGAAGGATCACCTTGTGCCAGGGGTTGGGAGGCTGAATCCCAGCCCGCCTCTGCCAGTCAATGCCTGGGGACTCCACCGTGTTGAGCCCATTTCCTCTTCTCTCCCACCACCTTGTAGGATGTTGGGGAGAAAACACTTGGTGGTGGCCAGAGGAGGTCTGTTCTATTTCCCTGTATTGTCCCAGGCTTCCCCAAACTGGGCCTCAGTTTCCCCTGAGGCGAGCTGGACTAGATTGTCCTCAAGGCTTATTTCCATCCCTCTGGGTGTTCTTATTTCCCATTTGGTCCAAATAGATACCCATCCCATAGGCTTGCTCAGAAGTAGAAGACCTGCCCCCAGATGACCCAGTTACGAGTCTGTTCCCCATCCTGGGAAAAAGGAAGGCAAGGAGAGAGCTGGAGGATGACCTTGCAGGTGACCCTGCTATACCAAGACAGCCGAGGCTCAGAGACATGAAGGTCTTGTCTGAGGTCCCATGGCAAGGAAGCAGTGTGGCCAGGACAAGACCTCTCAGGCCCAATAACCTCAAGTCCAGGCTCTGCTCTGCTCTAGCTCTTTGCCAACTTGGTGACATGAAACATCGGGGATGTCTGTCACATGAAATGGCAAAGTCCATGGTCATCAGTGTAATTCAGTCCAGGTTGGGACAGGGCCTCCACCTTGCTGTTCTGAGTGGGCAAAAGAGAGACTACTGAAGGAACTGAGGCCCCAGGCAAAGAGATGGTGGCCCCTGGCACCCCTATTTCAAAACCACTCCCAGTTCACACACCAGCTCCTCACTGCTTATCTTGTTCCTCTCCCAGAAGACCTTCCTCTGTCCCCCGTATCCTCCCAGGTGGTTTTTTCTGACCACTCCAGCCTCCAGTGAGTTCTCCAAGCTCCCCTCCAGGCTCCTGGGGCCCTTGGCCATGGCCCTGGCCATTACAACCCCTTGCATCAATAGGTATATACCCACTGTGCAAAGTTAGGCATCTGCTCCCATCCCAGCACCTCTTATTTCCAGCTGCATACTAGGCTCCACGAGGATAGGGAGGGGCTGATCAGAAAGTTCTGGCTGACTGCTCTAGGTGTTTGTGGTCCTCAGTGCAAGAATGTCCTTTTTGTTAATTATTGTCTACATGGCAGGAACAGGCTTGCCCAGAATCCACTTTCTGGCATCCTGGAGGGTGGGAGAAATGTCCATGGTGGGTGTCCAGTGTGATATGAGCCTGGGCACGCCTCAGAAAACACATCCCAGTGCAGTTCAGTGGTTCCAGGGGCTTGGGAGTCCCTGCCTTGGACTATGGTCTTCTGGGTCCTGTCCAGCCCCAGCATTTCAAAGTCCACAATGCAGTCAGCACCTTCGACAGCATCTTTAGAATCATAGCTGAGCAATCTCCCAGACAGTCCTTTGTTCGCTTTGAGTCCTTTGATATGGAAAAGAGCTGCTCACCCTGCACTGGGCCCAGGAAAATGGAGTCAGGAAGCCAGGGCATCTCTCCAGTGTGTTTCTCCTGAGGAGGGGTCTCAGGGGGCAAGCTTGAAGCATAACCAGCCCAATGAGACTCCTAGTCCAGATGTTAAAGAAGTAGCAATGAGCAGGAGGCTGGGACCTGAGGTGGGCATCCTTAGTCTCAAGGACAACTGCAAGCCCACCTGTGGGGGGGGGGGCAGCCAAGACAGAGGGGATGCTCTGCACACAGGTCTAAGATGTCCTGTGACACATTGGGAATACTGGATGCATAATGGGTGGGCAGTCTGCTCAGTTGGACCCTCACGCCCACCAAAAGCAAGAAGGTATTTACACGGGTGTTGTTGAAGTGACAAAAACAAGCTCTCCTTCCCAGGCCGGGGGCAAGAAGACAGGTGGATGGTCAGACAGCTGGGGACCGGCAGGCTAGGCTGGGGCTACAGTTGTCTGCAGAGTAGTCTGTGGCTTTGCAGACACCCAGTTGCTGTTGGGAGAAGCACACTGATTGACTTAGAAATGTGTGTGTCTAGAAGTCCAACAGCCTTACCCATAGAACCCCAGTTCCCTGGCAGGAAAAGGTTGGGAGGGAGTTTCAGGCGAGAGAGGATTGCTGGGGGATGGTCTCATTGGGCCCCTCTGGCTGTCTTCGGAGGGGCTGAGAGGCCATGGCCCTCAGTGATACGTGTTGCAAGTGCTTGGCGCCCGCCTGGCTCCGAGGGTCAGTGACGGTCGTAGGCAGTGGCGGCTGCAGGTGGGGCGGCTCCTCGGGCCGCGGCGCTGTAATAGTATGGGGAGCCTGGGAGAGACAGAAGAGGGCACGGGGGTTCGAGGGTGACCTTGTGCCTGCCGCCCCATACATGGGGTCCCCTTTCCACCAGGGTCCCCCTCCTCCTCCCCTTCCTCCCAGGCCACCAAGATCTCTGTCCCAGTCTGTTCCCCAAATTGCAAACCTAATCAGGGTGGCTTCCTGCTCACAAGATTTCAAGGCCTCCTCCCCACCTGGAGCTGGGGCAGGCAGACTGGGGCCCTCGGCTGAAATCCTCCCTGCTGCCCGTTTCAGTCCATAACGTCTTACTGGAACTCAGCCTTGCCCTTGGGCTGTCTGTGGGTGCTCTCACGCTACTATAGCAGAGCTGAACACTGCAGCTGAGACCACATGGCCTGCGCAGCCCCAAATATTTACCATCCAGCCCTTGGTAGAGCGAGTTTGCCAACTTCTGACCTAGAGGGTGAAAAGCCATCACTTCTTAGTTCGCCCTGTGGATACTTCGTGACCTCGCTCTGCCCACCTCTCGGGATGTCCCCCCGCCCGCCCCACACCACGCACATACCACACTCCCGTGAACTCGGACCCCGCAGAGGTCTCAAGGGTACCCTCACGCTAACAGCAACCACCCGCGGAGAAGCACTTCTTCGGCCTTGCACCGCTCTCTTTCCCGTGTTGTCTCATCTCCGCCTCCAGGGCAGGGGAGTCAGCCCACTTCATCCCCCTCTTGGGCCTCTCTGCCTCTTCCTCCGCTCCTTCCTGCAGACCCCCCAGCCCCTGCCCTGAGCTCACCCTGCTCTGCAGCCTGGACCAGGGGCTCCAATCGCCTCTTTTACTGCGTCCCCCCCTGCCCCGCCCCACCCCTGGACAGAGAGCCCCACACAGGCAGGGGCTGGGCCCTGCTCTTCCCCGTGTCTGCCGTCAGTCCCCAGTCTGTAGCCCGGCACGTGGCACGTGCTCACAGCCAGGCTGGATGAGTAAATCACAGCAGCACTGAGTAAACAAACAATAGCGGAGACCCCTGCCCATTCACTCATTTCTTTTCTGGCCCTACTGGGGACAGCAAGGGGCAATAATCACAACCCTCACAGACCAATGTTCAGAGTCTGCAGGGGGATTAGAGCTCTGAGAAAAGAGCTCTGGGGAATGCAAGATGAGTCTGGCAGAGTCAGGTTTCCTGGAGGATGTGGGTTGGGCTGGGTTTGAAGGATAGGAAGAGACAGACATGGGGAGCCTGAGGTATGGGAGACCATGGGAGAAGGGCAAGGTGGAGCCCTGCGGCCTGTGACCTCCAGACAGAGCCAGGGTGAGAGCCAAGCTGGGTTCCTCCCACTGTCTCAAGGCTTCATTCTGGGACTACCTGCTTCGGACGAGGCCTCCAGGAGGCCTACGCTGCGCCAGAACTCCTCCCCAGGGATGAAAGAGTCTGGGGGGCTCAGGGAGACCAGCAGATTCTCAGAACCACAAAGCTTAGAGATGCTAGGCCATTGCCTCCCTTTACAGGTGAGGAAACGAGGCTCAACAAACCAACACCAAGTGCCCAAAGCCACAGGGCCTCTCAGTGCCAGAGCCTGGCCTGCATTCAGGACTCTTCCCACCACAGTGCAGTGTACCCAACGCTGGGGGGCTGTGTTTGTCCAGGTGGACAGCAGTGGGGGCCCTGGTAGCCACTAGACGATGCATCTCTTGGGGTGGGAATAGTGAGCTGCTTAATTCCCTGGGGGAGTGGACTCATATTTATTCGTGATTCTCCCAGATACCATAACTGAGCACCAAGGCCTGGACTCTATCACTCTTGGCTGAGTGACCTTGAACAAGTGCCTTCTGAGTCTGTTTTCTCATCTGTAAAAGGGGGTCACAATGGGGCCATATGAGGGCACCCTGAGACAAGGATGTGAAAGTGCTTTGGAAATTGACACTTTTCTAAGCCACTTAAGCTATTCACGCTTTCCATTTCCAAAACAATTGCGCCAGGTAGGAACTAGAATCGTCCCCATGTAGCAGATGAGGAAGCTGAGGCACAGACAAAGTAGCTTCCCCAAGATCACACAGCTAGTATGTAATCTAGAGGGCAGGACGGGGGAGGCACTTCAGCACGGCCACTAGCCCTCTAAACCCAGTCCCAATGAACAGACACACTACTTCCTCCCTTGCCCCCTCCCGCCCCTGCCCCCGGGAAGGAGTATGACTCAGGCAGCAATGACAATGGAGGAGGAGCGGGAAATGCCTTGCCGTGCTGTTCCAGAAGGCAGAGACACCAATCCCATGCCTAAGTCTTCACAGAGATGGCTTTCTCTGCTGCCTCCTCTGTCACCTTCCCAGTTGGAGCCCTGGTTCAGAGATGCCTGTCAGCCAGCCTCCTCTGCTCTTTCTTCTGGGGTGGGGACAGCATTAGGACAGTCACCCACAGAGAATCTGCAGTACCAGCCCTGCATCCTGCCTTCAGATGAGCCCAGGAGAGAGGAATGTGTGTGTGTGTCTGTGCTGGGGACATCCCTGCAGGCCTGGGCATGGCACAGGAGCGGGAAAACCGCAGGGACTGCCCTCACAAAGGGGCCTCCGGGGGCAGCAAATAGAAGTAAGGCTCCTGGGCCAATCCCAGCTCAGCCCTCCGAGTTCCCAACAGGCCACCTCTCACCCGCACTCCCCTTCCAAAGCCTAATCTCTTGGCCAGCCTGTCCCGAAAAATCAAAAATGCTTGCATTTACCATGAGAAATGAACACATCACCGTACAAAGCACTCTGTCTGGTGCCCGTTAGACCTCCATCTAGAATAAACTTGTCCTTTTCTTCTGTCATTTTTTCCTAATTCACAGTATCATCAATTTGCTTCTTGACACAGTCATTCCAGGCTCCTGCTCACTCCTCGTCCCCTTAGAGCGGCCACGGGCACACCCTTTCTAATCCTAATTGACCACCGCTTTCTTCCCCATCCCTCCTGCCTCTGTGCCCTCCCAGCCTGTTCGCTGGGCCTGGCTGGGCCTTGTGTGCACAACGTGCAGGCCGCTCCGGCAGAGGAGGCTCAGGGGGAGGGGAGTTCTCCTGAGAAGTCAATGTGCAGCCTCACCAGGGCGGCATTGCCCAGCCTGGCTTGGCGGTGTTTCTGTGAAGGGGACTTCAACCAGGCTGGCTGGGGTGCGGGCACTGCATGTGAGCACACGGGGGGGGGGGAGGGGGGGGGGGGGGGAGAGAGAGAGAGAGAGAGAGAGAGAGAGAGAGTGTGTGTGTGTGTGTGTGTGTGTGTGTGTGTGTGTGTGTAGGGTCTCACCTGTTTCTGCAGCTCCCACTGATCTAGCAGGAGCACCAAGGAGCCTCAGAGCAGCTTTCCCCACCCCTGGTACCTTCCCGAGAGATAATCAGTCTGCCTCTTTGGTCCAGTGGGATTCTTGTAGCTAACGGCCTGAAGACACTCTGGGTAAAGGGCAGTCTGGTAGGTGTGATGGGCCTGGAACTTATTGCAAAACTATGGCACAGTGAGCCTGGCATCTCACTCATCTTCAGGAAAGTGGGATCACTGCTTATTCAGAGCTGTGGGCCTCAGGAGAGTGTCATATTCAGCTCTTGCCTGAACGAAGCTGCCAGTGGTAATTATCCTCATCTTACACCCGAGGCAACTGAGGCCCCAATTGGGGGATGACCTGTGGTTCCCCAGGTTACAGACTTTGGAAGTGCAGGGGCCATTTCTCGTGTTTGTAACTGCCCAACACTGTTTTCGACTTTTCCTGTGTTTGCAGGGTTTCCTGTGGTGGGAGGCCCGCCTCTTTGAATGAACTCGTTCTCCCATTCCGCTGGCTGCTAGGGCACAAGTGTGTCCCCTGGGCTCTGCCTGTTAGAGCCTCCTGCATGCGACTTGGATTGGGAAGGGGGCAGCAGGAGGAAGTGGGTAGGCTAGGATGGCAGAGACGCCCAGCTCCTGGGGGGCGGGGTCGAGCTCTCCCGCACCCTGGCCAGAGTGGCAGCAGAGAGCCGAGAGCCAACTGGCACCAGCAGGAGGGCTCCGGCAGCGCTGGTGGTGTGGCTGGGTGATGTTCCCGGCCCTGTGTCCCACACCTGCCTCTTTGGTCCTCCTGGAGATTCTGGAAGCCTGTAATATCCCTTAATAAACTGGTTTTCTGCTTCAGCCAGCCAGAGTGGATTCTGTGGTTTGCAACAGAAAGTCTGGCAGATAAATAGAATAACAACCTGGCTTTCAAAAATTGATCAGAGCTGTTCTCATCACATACATGGTCGGAGTATTTGGGCCCCTCAAGACTTCTGTGGAGGGATGAGGCCTCTTTTCCTGGCTGTTCAGACTCGACTGGTCAGGGAGAGTAAGAGTGCCACATCATACCCTGGGGTCAGGGCAGTCTGAGTTTGAGTCCTCATTCTGCCGCCTGCATGCTGTGTGACCTCAGGTAAGTTAATAACCCTTCCTGAGTCTCACTGTCTCCATCTGTATAATAGAGAGAACAGCTGTTGATAAGTAAGGTAACCCACATGAAGAGTTTTGCCCAGCGCTCACACAATGAGCAGGTACTCGTCTAGATGGACAGAGTTCCTCTTCTCCGTACCAGCTCTGGTCTCCTCTCAAGGCACTGAGCACCCTCCCAGCACAGACAGCCTTGCCTGGGGCTCCCTCACTCCCAGCCTGGAGGCTCCCTGAGACAGAGTCCACATCTTTCCATACCAGGCACACAGCCCACGCCTAATACCCAGGGATGTGAACTGCCTTCACTCCAGCTGAACAGCAAAGGCCCCAGATGCCGCCTAGCCCCCCACCCTCCCTTTGCCACCTGCTCAGGCTCCAGACCCAGCACTCTGCCCCTACCCCTCTGAAAGACTCTGGTTCAAGGAGACTATGATTAGCCTTTGCCTCCTAGGGCTGACAGCTGGGCCACCTCAGAGACCAGGACCTCTCAGAGGGGCTGTTTTCAGGAAAAGCATTAGGTAAGTGGAGACGTGGTCCAATACTTAGAACTGATTTTTACCATAACCAAAAAAGTCCACAGATCAGCCCCTCCAGGAGGCCACAGGTAGTACGATCCTAGTCTTCTATAAAATGAAATCTGCAGGCATAGGGACCTGGAGTACTAACTGGCATCGTTTTTTATTGTACCCGCAAGTTTTGCATGACACGCCAGAATGCTCGGGGCAGCTGGGGGCAGCTTGAGACCCAAGTGCACAGAAGGGTGGTAGCCAGGAAGGGATGGTGTCTCTGTCACGTTGTCTGCCTTAGTCACCTAATCACAGACCCATGACCTGGCAACTTGAGTCTGAAGGGACCACGTTCTTGCTTTTCTGGTGAAGTCTGTTTCCCAGTCCTACAATAAGTTCCGAATCCAGGAATTAATAGGCTCCTACTTAAGCTGGCCTTGTTAAGCTGGAAAGACAAGCCTGGGTGGTCTCTGAGCCTTGTCCCAACCTGTGTAGGAATTCCTCAGCTGACTGCTAGGGCAGGATCCGTGTGCAGGCTCATTGGCTAGCTCTGCCCCCAGGTGGTGAGTGACATCTGTGAGCCCTGGGCCCCTGCTTCATGCTCCAGAACCTTCAGCTCCTGTTATCGCTCACCAGCTGGTTTCATGTCAGTTCATTTCAACAAAACAAAAGGTTCTCCTTGGACTTTTGAGGGCTGAGTTATCCCTGCTTGGTCTTTGGAGTGGCCCAAATATCTTTGATGATGTACACAGATCAGGCTGGCCCCAGCAATGGATAATATGCCAGCCTGAGGCCTGGGTAGAGGTTGGGTGCCCGCTGAGCTGGGAATGGCAAGACGCAGAAGGCCTTCAGGCACAGAACCATCAACTTTCCAATGGAGCTCTGCTGATGTCCATGGCAGGCATCACTAATCAATCACTAAGCCTCAGAGTCCTTATCAAGACAGATAGCCGCTACCAATCAATCCAAGTTAGCTCTTGCCAACTTGCTGCCTCCTTGTTGCCTCTTAGAGATTTCTCACTGGAAGATTCAATGATTCTTAAGAAATATGTTACTCCCAGGCAGGCACTTTTCCTACACTCCCCCTATTCCTTCAATGCCCCTTTTTCTCTGTTTCCCTTCTCTGCCATTTTCCCTTATCCACCAAAACATCTGGGGGAGGGATGAGGGCTTAAGCGGAGCTGGCGTGGTGTTTCCTATCCGAGGCTCCCATCACAACTCCCGGATAGCAGGTACCTGAGGCAAGCTACCCACCCCCACTCAGGGACTATACCTCAGGCTCTGAAGGGACCCTGGCCCAAAGAGGGGCCCTAATGGGGCAGCTGATGGCCCAGGGGCCCGACAGGGCCTCCACCAGTACTCACCGAGCAGCCCCGGGTTGGGGAACCTCCAGGAGTCGTTGTACGAGGGATACTGAGGGTGGCTGTAGGGGCTCCCAGAAAACTCACTCCCTGCATGTGGTGGGCGGGGAGAGAAACAGGAACCAAATGTCAGGTCAGGTTTGGAAAATGCCAGTGGCGTTTGCTTCTCATAATCAGTAAAGGCAACTCTGGCCCACGTCCTTAATCAAGTGGATGGCTAACACCAGCCTCGTATTTCCCCCTGTAACATTTTTCTTAGCAGAGGAAGTGAATCCCAGCCTCCAACATGCATACCATGAAACTACCGTGTGCCAGGTGTTCCCTGGGGTTATTGGACCATTTTACAGGTGAGAAAACTGATGCCCAGGGTCTCTCACAAAATGACCTTGATCCAAGTTCAAAGTGGCACCCGGCCTGGCTCTCAGCCCTGACTGAGGCACTCCAGTGCCCCAGTGTGGTTTCAATTCCACTGCCCATGTGTTTCCTGAGTGGCTCTGAACTGAGAAGCCAAAGGTGACCTCAGCTCTAGTCTGGCCCTCTGTGTTGTGACTCCAGAGGGGCCTGCTCCCGGGGGCCTGGGAGCATGGGTCTAACGGGGAGGGTGAGACAGATGCTCACGACCCAGGAGAAGGTAGATGGCACTTTGCTGAGATGAAGGGAGGCCAGAGGGCTGGGGAGCACAGCAGAGCACAGAAGGTCGGGGCCTTCCAGGCATTGGGAGGGGGGCCGCTGTTCGCGGCTGGGGTGCTCAGGCAGAAACCAGGAGCCGGGCCAGGGTAAGGGCAGCGTTGGGGAAAGGCACGGTAGGACCTGAGGATGGCTCGGTCTGGCCCAGCTGCTCCTGGGGCCCTGCTCCTTGTGTCTGGCACTTCCCTGTGCTCTTTCTGCAGCCCCAGGAGGGCCTGTTTACCACCAGCCAGTGATAGGAAAGGAGCTCAGAATTCCTGCCTTCAAACCTTGCTGCCTTGGCCCTGCAGCAGGAAGGACCCTGCCTGTCTCCTCCCTGTGGCTGGGATTCCCAGAGCGCCTGGTTTGGGCCGGACCCTGGTTGTGTTGGTAGCTGGCTGGTGAGTGGCCCTGTAGGCCCCTGGTTACAGAGCAGGTGGGCCCCTCCCTGGCAGTGGTGATGGGAGTTACACAGCCCCAGGAGACCACCCGCAGCCCTGACGTGCTTCCATGGATTCCTCTCAAGGGTGCCAAAGGGTAGGAGCCTCCAGAAGGACCAACCAGAAGGCAGGACCTGGAGCACTGCTCTTGCCCCAGCATCCGGGCCCCAGATGTGGGGTCCCTGGGGCTCCACCAGGTAGGGCAAGAACAATAAAGGAGGCCTGAGGGGCCAGCCGCTCCCACCCCCTGGGCCCAGCTGGCCTCCTCCCCATTTCTACAGCCAACCACAGGCAGAGCGTGCGTGCGTGTGCGCGCGCACACACACACACACACACACACACACACACACACACACACACACACGTGCTTCTCCTCAGGCCTCTCTGGGGGCCACTCCCAGCCTGACAGGCTGAGCCTTCCAATTCTCTGTTTTTTATGCCTCAGTGGTCAGGGTGTCAGGTTCCGGCGGCGGGAGGGAGAGCGTGGTGACAGTGCTGGGCCTCAGCAGCCCAGCCTCCGCATATCCATCAGTGCCTCCCCCTCCTAGGGGACAGGGAGAGGGATCAGAGAGACCGAGCAGCCTGGGGAAGGGGGACAGCTGCCCTCCCCTCAGGGCTCCAGGCTGCCCCATCAGAGGCACTTCCTGACAGCGCTGTGCCTGGACCCAGGGCACCAAGGCTGTGCTGGCAAAGGCCGTCTCTGCTCCTCCGTCTAGCGACATCATGCTTGTCTGCCAAGCTCAGCTCCAAGGCCACCTCTTACGGGAAGCCTCCTTGATCTCCAGCCCCTGGAAGTGCAGGTCCTGGGTCCATTCAGCTGGAGTTAACCGTGTCTGTGTTATCCACCCTACACCTTCCACCACCACCTGGTCCCCAAGCTGGCTCTCTGATACCTCTTTCTCTGGGAAGCCCCCCCTTCAGGTGCCCTCCGTTTCCCGCAGCATCCCACAGCACCTACATGGGAGTCCCCTGTGACGTGGGAGTGTCTGCCCTGCGGGTCTGGGTCTGAGTCCTCTCTGCGCCTGTGCGCCCCCCACCCCCGCGCTCCCTCTGTAATGCCCCGTCCACAGCAGACGGTCGGTGTTCGTGGATGGCCGGCAGCTTGCCTGCCTCATGCACGACGCTACCGCACATATGTGTGCACGGCTCTCTTCCTCACCTCCTCCTAGGCTTTGCTCCAATTTCATCTCCAGACCACTGAATTTAAAATGGAAACCCCTTCCACCCCATCCTTTCCTGCTTTATTTTTTTCCATAGAACTGATCACGACCCAACATCTCTTGTTTTTGTGCTTATCTTGTTAATTCTGCCTCCTCTAGTACAATGGAAGCTCCATGGGGGCAGGGAGTTCTGTCAAATTCACGTCTCCATCCCAAGGTCTAGTACAGGGCCTGGAATCTAGCAGGCACTGAAAACTTCTGTTGAATGAATGAACAGGTACACCTCAGTGAACCAGGGACACGGATGATGGCTCCCACTACTTCTGCTATTGGTACTGAGAGCCAGGGGTGTATTGAGCACCTGCTGCATGCCAGGATTCAAACCAGTTTATATGATCCACTGGTGGGTTCCACTCACAACACCACCCTGCTCCTTGGTGGAAGATGAGAATCCCCAGGAACACCTCCCCGCCCCCCGCCCCGCCGCTGGTGTGCTGAGTGGGGACTTTGTGGGCATCCTTAGCCAGCCCTGTTCTGTGAGATGCCCTGGGAGAGTGAGCATTCAGGGTAAGGGGAGCTTCAGCACCTCGGGGCATGAGGCTGACCTGTGCGGGCGGTCCGGCCGCCTACTGGACACTCTGGAATGCTGATTATCTGAAGTGCCACACAGAAAGCTAGTGTAGAGAGTCCTTGGCACATGAGATGTGGGGAGGCCCATCGTCAAATACCGAGGAAGCTGCCTGTCTAGAGACCTGGCCTAGCCTGACCCCAGAGGTGGCCAGGAAGCAGCAGACTGCCTAGGTTCAAGCCCACAGGTCACCACTGAGCCCAGCGGTCCTCAGTCAGTTTGGCACAGAGGCTGGGAGCAAGGTCTCTGGAACCAGACTGCCTGGATTGAATTCCCGAGTCTGCCTCTTCCTAAGTCTGTGACCTTGGGCGGCTCATTCGGCCTCGCTGTGCCTCAGTAACGCAGGAGCCATTAACAGATCGCACTGCATGTGGTCACTGTAAAGACTGAACAGGTGATACACCCAGTGCCTGGCACACAGCGAATGCTCAGCAGATGTCGGTCATGACAATGACCTGATCCTATTCACCAAAGCCTCCCTGGCATCCAGCATCTCATTTAGCCCTCCTGACAATCCTATGATGCTCACAAGATGGGTGTAACTGTCTGCATTCTCTATGTGAGGAAATGGAGGCTCAGGAAGGTGGGAGGACTCTGAGGCTGGCCGCCCACCTGCCAGCCCAGGGCCTTCTGCCCTCCCATCTTAGGCCTCTGTCTCTTTTTTTAAAAAGGCCTTTCTTGTCAGCAGAGCTTGAATTTCACTTCTCAGGGGCCGTGATGCTTCTAGCAAGGAAGGAGGCCCTGTCCTCGGGGGCTCAGCGGGTCCCACCTGCTGTTGGCTCCTCCGGGCCTGGAGGCTCCAATCTCCTGCTTCATCTCCCCTGCTTAAATTCACCACACTCATGACACCTGAGGAACATTCACCTTCTTTCCTTCAAACCTTACAATAGCTGCTTAGAAGAGTGAATCCTGTCCGACCAAGCGGAAGTGGGGGGAAGCACTGGGGGCACTTTCTGGGGTGCCAGGGAGCATGCGAGCCAGGAAGGGAGAGGATCTCCCAGGCACAAGCAAAGGTCTGGGGTGGGACTGGTCCGAGTGTGACCCCCTGCGTGGCTGGGTCATCGTGAGGCCCAGCAGAGAGGCAAGCCCCAGAGCAGAACTGGCTGGGGCAAGAACATGACGCTTTTCTCCCATGAGAGCTGGGACCCAGGGGAGACTAGGCAGTGCCAGGATCTGGGGGAGAAGCTGGAGAAGGGGAGCCTGCGGTCAGGGAAACCAGCCAGGTGACTGCCGCCACAGTCCAAGCCTGGGAGACAATGCAGTACCGCTGCCTGGCCGGACGCAAAGATCACACGATAAACACCTCCCAGAAGGGAGCCGCGCTGGAGGTGAGCAGCGCCATAATGTGTAAACGGTGGCATCACCATGGTGCACACCGGAAACTAATGGAACATTGTGTCTCAGCGGCACTCACAGACAAAGATGAATTAAATAAGTCAGCACCTTCTCTTCTGACTGCCCAGCACAAAGGACAACAGGGGCCCCTTGTTTCTTTCCACTAACCGACCCATACTTTTGGCATCTCTCAAAAATACCAACCCCCTAAACTGGGCAAACTGTTCTTGATGCATTAATAGAAAAGTTTCTGTGAGGCAGATCGGGGTGCCAGCCCAGCCTAGATGGCTGTCAGTCAGTGGACAGTGAGACCGTCATCTGGTCTCGCTGTCCACAGACAGCACATGGGCCCTCCTCAGAGACAGCTCCTGGGCGTCTGGAGTTGGTCACATATAAGCCCCTAGGAACTCTCACCAACAAAACCTGTCATCCATCCCCAGCCTCTTGGGAGGGAGCAGTCCCGAGAGGAAACCAGGACTGCAGTGAGAACAGACTCGGAGTCAGCACTGCAGGGTGGGCCCCCCCTCCCCATATGATGCTGTGGGAGCAGAAAGCAGGGAGGGGTCAGGGAAGGCTGCGGGCATTCCTGTGGAAGGGCTGGGCAGGGGTAGGCGCTGCACTCAGCCCTCCGCCTACTGGCTGTGCGGCCTTGGGTAAGTGATTGAACCTCTCTGGGCAAAGTATCTTCATCTTGAACATGGGCCTACATTATAGGATTGGTGAGAGGGGAGGCCAGGTAATGTTCCTCCAAGAAGAGCACTCCCCTCTCCCCATACCCAGGACGCAGAGGAAGCAGGAGAGAGGCGGAGGAAGAAGCGCCCCTTCTAGAAACCAAGAAGGCCCTGAAAGGGATTGTACCAC